GGGAAATTGTGAGATTAGTGCTGACACCATCAGGACTATGGTGGTACTGCTGCATAAATCAGAGACACATCCAGCCAGCTATCCCATTATCCAGTTAGTTTACTCTAACACAGAGTCTTCATAATGAATCAAAGACTTTTGGCAGATAATTGCAACTAATCAACTAACTACTCATGGACTTTGGTTATACAGTGAAATAAACCATATAATGGTTTCTTAATACCATTTATTCACAGACATCTGAGTCAAGTTTAAAACTGATAAGAATCTTAGGTTTTCAGTAAATAGCCAGAGAGTGTTGTTTAATCTTAGTTGTGATCCATGGAAGGGTTCCACTATAACATCTTTGGTGCAGCATGCTACTGTTACACTCCCGTATAAAACGCCTTCTGTGCAAAAGAGGTTTATAAAGAAGATGGCTGGTCTTCACCTTAATCGATCGGATTTATTGTATGACACCAGCATGATTGATTTCTGCTTTGTCCAACAGAGCAAGATCTTACTGCATGCAGCTTGTCTTGTTTGAACGTCGTAAGTCAGGGACCTGTGTGTTGGCCTCAGAATTAACAAGCATTATCTTAAACACTCATCCACTTTCACATTCATACTCAACCTTTAGAATTCGGCACCCTTATACTCAGGGTATACTCAGGGTACTCAGGGCCTGTAAACACGTCAACTACAGACATACCCCCCTGAGCTTGGGGTGTGCAGCTGAGGTGGTATTTATAGTTAGGTGATATGGGGAGAGTATGGGGGGGGGGGGTATACATGCATATCAGAAAGAAGGATTAGGAGGAGATGGGATAAACGCTAATGTGGTGAGTTTTGGGAAATAGGTGGAGAGTGTTAGAATATGGGAGGTACAAACCCCATTTCTGCCCTCAGGGCAGCTGGCTCAGTGCACCATACGACTCACTGCTAGTTGTTTCAACATTGTTTCAGCATTATTTCAGAGTTGTTATGACATCAGATGTGTAGCCTGGTGAAAATCTAAGATGATTTCTGCATTAATTTGCTCCTGGCTAAGATTCCTTAGCTCTGTGTGTGTGTGGGGGGGGGGGGGGGGCAGTTGCTGTAAGTTGCGGGAATTACCTAATCCTGTGGGGGACGAGAACTGACTTCTCAGCCACCGCTGACACACACATAGACACACTCAGACATAACTCCTCTTTCTGTCTGTCAGTTCCATCTATCCCAGCCAGCTTTTCCACACATCTATCACTTTTTTCTTTGTCCTCTCATTCTCAGCTGAACAATCTCCCCCCATTTGTACCCCTTTCTCATCCGTTCTTCACTCAGATACACACACACACACACACATGCGATTTTCTGACATATTCCATGTTTGGACGCACACAGTAACGGTAATAATACTGTTAACGGGTGTGACAGTGGAGTCCTGCCAGTTTCCTATAAATATCTGCCGTCTTCTGTAGGAACCTGAGAAGCAGCGGCTCTCCCAGTTTACACAGCTGAGCTGCATGTGCCTCCAGACCTTTCCCTTTGCTCCCCCTGAAAGTTCTCTCTCCTGCTGCACCTTGCCCTCCATGTGCTGGGCGCTACCATCCACTGGCAGGCAAGTGGGACAGGTCAGTGGCATGAGGAGACCAGTCGTTTGGGCACTGGAGTGGCACCAGTGCTCTCAGGAGGGCGGGCCGGGGGAGGGCTTCGCTCCGTCCGCTCTGTCGCCTCAAGCCTCTTTATGATGTTCTTTTCTTCATCGCTCTCTCCTCCCTCTGCACACATCTGTTCTGGTAATCAGGATCAGCCACCCTTGGGGGGGGGGGGGGCGGGGGGTGTAAACACACGTGCCTGTACTCACAAATGCACACGTAAGCAGACACCGAAAGTAATCACGTTTAAAAGAATCTGCACCCCCCCCCCCCATATGTACTCCTATGCTACTTGCCCACACCCAAGCGGCATCAGTGAGTATTGCAGTCAGCATTACGAAATGAAGTATCTTCAGTGTGTCTCTGTGGTTGAAGGCTGTGTGTATAGCAACAGGTCTCAGTTCCTTTGCATGTGAATGCAGATCTCATACGTGATACATATGTTGTTTAAACCATAAGTAATGAGTAACCCATGAGTAATATGTTACATTAAAACAGTATCAACTTACTTATGGGGTATATCCAACTTTGCTAGCTTACATAAGCAGTTTTGATTACCTACATCCTGGCTACAAATTCAATATCTCCATTCTTATAGAGCCAAACCCTCGTCAGTAGCAACATGGGATTAATGTCTGTGGGACTGCAGGAAAACACAGGTTTGCAGATAAAATAAACCATTAAAGAAAAACACTCAGGAGATAAAAATATCTTCTTTGGGTTGCGATCCAGTGAAGCTCTAGGATATAAATAATGATCGCATGCAGCCATGGCTGGTCTTTGCCTCCCCCTGCAGGTTGTTTTTATTAAATCAGCCTGTGTGCGTCAAAATCGGATGGCATTGTCAGCAGCGCCCCGCTTTCTCATAAAAGACACGTCAAAAGATACGCAATCAGCATTAACCACCTCCATTCTCTAAAACGCAATTGTAATATTTGATATAGTTCAGTCACTGAATGGACATAGCTAAGTTTGGCTACTCAAGAACAATTGCTTATAATTTTGTATACTCTTATTGAAGCATCATAGAAACCTTGCAAGCTCTATTGCCATAACTGCGTGTTTTTACTGTAATATAAAGCACCACATCCGTATGTTGAGTGGACAGACTATAATTAATCGCTTGTCTAATTGATTTCGACTGCCCTCTCTTTAAAATACAGTCCTACGTGTAGTACTTCTTAGTCTACAATATATAGCGAAAATCGCCAATTTGTAATATTCTAGTTATTTGTTAGGTAAGTTATTTGTGCCTAATGGGGTTGATGGTGTTGATTCATATTTATATAAATGCAGAAATAAAAAAGTAGAATTCAGCTTCACTTTATGACACCTTGGTGTAGTTCATACTGTACATTCTGTAAAAAATACTCTCCGTTGCGCCACCGCCTTTACTGCTGTGGCTTTTTCTATCTGCTCCTCTGCTATCAACCTCCATCCATAATAAAGGAGTTAACGTTACGTAACGTTGATTGTACATGGCTGATGTCAAATGATGCATTTTGGAAAGATTTTAAACACATACAAATGAAATACACTTTTCTGTATACAGTTTCAGATAATCTGAAGCAGATTTTACTATAGCGGGGGTTCGATGACAAACTTAAATATAAAAACCGATTCATGACTTAAACCAATAAATACACATTTATTTGGGGGGGGGGAGGGGCGGGGTACACATTTTAGGGAGGCTAAATGGGCCTAACGATGCCCCTGATCTGAAGTTGCCCTAACAAATTAGTCCGGTACAGTGATTGTTTTTTCAAAGAAAGCCATTAACTGGACTCTGTCAACTATTTAAATCTGTATTTTTATTCTGTCCATTAGATGGCGCTCAAGGATCATTTTTGAAAAATAAATCCAAAATTGCCAATTTCCCGTGTTTCAGGTGCTGCTGAAATAGTGTTTCTGGATATGAAATCCTTTTCTATTTATGTATACGCATATTAAACTTGTACTTTAAACTGTACATTTTTAATATAAATGTAACTTTATGTTAAGTTTATAAGTAACATTCTGCCTTGTTTCACCGCGCATACAGGTAGCGTCACCTCACGGCTCTCTGGTCACAGATTGAAATCCAGCCTTGGTTCTTTTTGTGGGGTATTTACATATCCTTATTCGTGCAGTACGCGATTCACGCAAAGTACTAATAAATGCTCATTATTCGACTCAGGTGACTCTACAATGTTTTTAGTGAGTCTGCGCGCAAGGAACTCAACTCGTGTCCAGCGTATACTCAGACTTTCGTTCTTTGCTCCAGGATGTTTGCATGTTTCAAAATCTTTTTATAAAACGTATTTTCTGAGTTTTATCATGCTCCTTATTTGTTTTTCTAAATACTACAAAAAGGGAAAAATCATCGTTCTTTTGTATCTGTTTGATGTATAGGTTTAATGGTGATTCTATAGTCGAACACACTGGTTGTATCTAGCTAAATTTTGTAAATGATAGATGGGGCGAAATACAACAAACGTGTTCAAATGCATTTTCATCATGGTACTGTGGAATTATTTATCACAAAACATTTGTGTTCTTATGTACTGAATGGCTGATCCCGGATAGCTACACACTAATCCCCTACTCCATTAATTAAAAAGAACGAGAGACTCGGGGAAAGCGCGTTTTCAGAAATGTAATCATTTCTGGAGAAGCTTAACCATCTGCTTGAGGTTAAGTCTCTGAACAGATTGTGTTTTCTGGTTATTTAAACCAGGGGATTTAACTTTTCGAGAGGGGGTGGATGGATCAGGGAGAATATGGTACTGACTTTCTTCAGTTTTATAATTGCCTCTAGCGAAGTGGGAGGAGAGCATCTCCGACGGGAATGACAAGGAATTACCTCAAGTTCCAAATCAGAAGGCGATTGCGTTTAACTGTGAAAGAGTCCTCAAGAGGCCGTGAAGGACCGGAAGAACAATGCGCAGAGGTTTGTCTCCCAGCTTACATTCATACGCCTGGAACAAAATCTTGTGCTTTTGTCCAATTAAACCAATCAACAACTATTTGTTTCATTTGCTACATTTTGGAATACCCAAGGTAGCTAAATGATTAATGCGCTTTTTAAGAATATACAAAGTATAGCCTAGTGTTACAATAATTGTGCTTGTATATAATTGCAGTTGTACGACGTGTATTCGCAAATACATTTATATCAATTGAAACATTTGTCTGCCGTTGGATGAAACGTGATTTAACTTGTGAAGCTGAATCGCAATGTGTACCGGGGGTAGGTCGAGGAATGGGTTAAGGCGCCCGTGCAGTAATTACACCCAGGGCTCCTGTCGCTCTCCTCCAATACGATTCTGTGAAAAGCCACGATCCTCCCTCCCAAACACCCTCCCTTGCAGCCTCCACACACACACAACTCCTGATGTACCGAAGAATGGGAAACGGAGTCTGAAGTCACACCAAGCAGCACGGATGTTCTTGTTTAGTTCTGCAGGCGCACTCGTTTTTAAGAAGCGCCTCAATGCTTTAAAGTTTTTATGCGTGGCAGTTAATCTTTAAAAATGTTAAATCTACAGGTAATCATATTAATTACTGGAAACATAATAATATTCTGTTTACATTTTTAAAGACTTTCAATGAAATGGACCGGAGAACCGCGAGAGAACGATGGATGTGTAGAAGATTAGTCATCTGTCTGGTTATGTGCGCGACAGCGCTGGATGTTGTTTTAGCGCAAATTCGATACTCCATATATGAAGAGTTGGAACACGGAGCTTTTGTTGGCAACATCGCCGAGGATTTAGGATTAGACGTTGCCAAACTGTCTACTCGCAGATTCAGAATAGTATCAGGCGCAAAAAAGCAGTATTTAGAAGTCAATTTGGAAAATGGCATTTTATTTGTAAATGAAAAAATTGATCGTGAAGAATTGTGCGAACTGAGCGCGTCTTGTTTTTTACACTTGCAAGTCGTCATCGAAAGCCCTTTAGAATTGCACCGAGTAGAAGTTGAAATTCTGGACGTCAATGATAATGCACCTAGTTTTCCGTGGAGTGAGTTTAACCTGGAGATAACAGAGTCGGCGGCACCCGGATCTCGCTTCCCTTTGGAAAGCGCGCAGGACCAGGATGTGGGCACCAACTCGCTCCGAACATATTTTCTGAGCGCGAACGAACACTTTGCCTTGGATATTCATACACGAAACGACGGGAGCAAGTTCGCGGAGCTGGTTCTTGGGACCCCGCTGGATCGGGAACAACTGAAAATGCACCAAATGGTGCTGACGGCCGCGGACGGAGGCGCTCCGGAGAGATCGGGAACTGCGCAAATCACTGTTACGGTACTAGATGCCAACGACAACGTGCCTGTTTTCGATCAGGCTTTTTATAGAGGGAGGTTAGTGGAAAATTCACCTCGAGGCACTTTCGTGATCAAACTTAACGCTACTGATCTGGACGAAGGACTAAATGGAGAAATATCTTATTCTTTCAGCGGGCACGCGCCGCTGAAAGTGCGTGAGCTGTTCAGTGTAGACTCCTATACTGGCGAAATCAGAGTCAAAGGGATAGTAGATTATGAGAAAGCAAGAGTGTATGAACTCTATGTGCAAGCCAAGGACAAGGGACCTTCTGCGGTCGCCGTGCATTGTAAAGTATTGGTGGATATTCTCGATGTGAATGACAATGCACCAGAAGTTATTCTAACCTCTGTGTCTACACCTGTTCAAGAGGACGCGCCTCCCGGTACAGTGATTGCTGTCATTAGCGTAATGGACCGGGACTCGGGTGAAAATGGAAATGTAGATTGCCAGATCCCCAATAATATTCCATTTAAACTCCACTCCTCATTTAAGAATTATTACACTTTGGTCACAAGTGAATTTTTGGACAGAGAGACAGTGTCTGAATACAATATTACCCTCACCGCGAGCGACATGGGAGTATCACCTCTGCTAACCAGGAAAAATATTATAGTGCAAGTGTCAGACATTAACGACAATGCTCCACGATTCCTACAGCCATCCTATACGGTTTATGTGACTGAGAATAACGCCCCGGGCGCATCCATTTGTTCGGTTACTGCTTTCGATCCTGACTCCAATCAGAATGCCTTTCTATCATACTCTATTCTAGACGGTGAGATTCAAGGCATGCCCGTGTCTACCTACGTCTCCATCAACTCAGACAATGGCAATATCTATGCGCTACGCTCCTTTGACTACGAGCAACTACGAAACTTTAAAATCGGAGTGCAAGCCCAAGACGCTGGCTTCCCGCCTCTGTGCAACAACGTGACGGTCAACGTCTTTGTTTTGGATCAAAATGACAACGCGCCGGTAATCGTTTCTCCTTTGCCAAAAAACGGCACCGTAGCCACAGAGATGGTGCCACGGTCCGTGGACGCTGGCTACCTCGTGGCAAAAATTACTGCGATAGATGCAGACGCGGGGCAAAACTCGCGTCTCTCCTACCAGGTTCTTCAGTCAACTGATCCAGGGCTATTTAGCGTTGCCCTTTATACCGGCGAAATAAGGACAATCCGCCGATTCGTGGATAAAGACGCCACGAGGCAACGACTAGTCATTTTGGTCAAGGACAACGGTCAGCCGCCCCTCTCGGCCACTGTTTCCATCATTCTATCAGTTGTTGACAGCGTGCCAGAATCGTTGTCCGACTTCAGCGACCTCTCTACCAACCCCAAGTCCACCAACAACCTTACTTTGTATCTCATTGTGTCTTTAAGCACGATTTCCTTTATATTTCTTGTGGCTATAATTGTCCTGGCTGTCCTAAAGTGCTATAAGGACGGAGGTTCTTTTCGGGAATTCGGTGTTTCCTCCGGTGCGTGCTGTGGATTGCAGTCCGAACCTCCTTCGGACGTGTACAAAAAATCAAACATAAACGTGCAGATATCGGGAAACAAAGTCCCCGCTAACTGCGCAGAAATAAACGGCAACGGAACCCTGTCTCAAGCTTACTGCTACAAAGTATGTCTGTCCCCTGAATCTTCTAAGAGTGACTTCATGTTCCTAAAGCCGTGCAGCCCGACGACTCCGCGGAACAACAAGGGGGCAGATAGGCTGGCGTCTGCCTGGGGCGCTCAGAACCGCAGCGTCACAGCAAACGAGACCAATAACCCCAACGAGGTAAGAATATATAAACACTCACACGCACTCACTCATTCACATGCATATAAAATGTCATAGCTTGTATTTCCAGTTGTACTGCAGAACTGGAATCAAATGCAGTTTTTAATTAGCGCGCACGGTTGTCCAGTAACTACAGTATGCAATACAAACACTGCCATTCTTTGTATGTTGAAGAATGTATATCAAAATACCACCAGTCGTACAAATGATTCGTCTTGGTTGTAATTGCTTTAAGTTTTCACACTTAAGTTTTCTTTTTTGCATATGTTTTTTTTATCATTTTAACTTAATTTTATTTCACAAGTCCATACCATATCAGATTTCATTACATGTAAACAATATTCACTGCGTCGGTGACATTTGTCTAACGGCTGACTTACAGCCTCACCGTGTTTCATTTGTATTTAACCTCTGCCGCTAGCTCTTCCTCTCTGCCCGCTTGTCCTGTTGTACCCAAAAACTACATTATCCGTTTTATATAGGCTGGTATGTAGCCTACTTATAATTGCTTATTATCCCCCGAATTAATTCCCAGGACTACAACAACACGCGATAGTCTAGTCTGAGTCTTAAAGTATGTTATGTTAATGTGTAGTTTTCTAGACAATGTTATACATCCTGCATTGTGCCCTAGCGCCGAGACTATCACGGTGGCTGTTTAGATTGAGAAATGTGACGGATGTGGATAATTGTTTTATGAAATTTAGAGCTTTCTAGCTTAACTGCATACCATTCAGTATCTAATTATTGTTACGTGTGACCTTTGCGTATTGTATTGACACGGATTCAGTATTCGACCTAATTATAGAATATATTTAGTATGAATCAACAAATCACCCCTCCGTACAACGAAGTTGTGCTCAGTTTTGTCGGTTATTTAGAGGCTAAAACGGATTTTAGGACGTGGTCGAAACACGGTGCGCCTGTAGATTTACTTGCATTGTCTCAACAAGGGGGTTCAAGGGTACTTCATACGCTTGAATTCTAAAAGCGTTCTAGCACTGATTAGTGATAACCACTAGATGGAGCCATGAGACCGACATATAAATTATTGTCACATATTTTACCTTGCAGATCGCCATGCAAGTCATATTATGTTTATGTTTATGAAGTCAATTTTCACATCCACGCAAAATGTTTCAGCACTTTACACCGTAATTTATGCCATTATTACACCTTAAAATATCATGATAAGGTAGTGATGGCTGTGCATGTGCTCGAGGGCCCACACTGCGGTACCGTGGACCAGGCACTTCATCTGAATTCGTTCAGCAATAAATGGATTTTCAAACTTTATTTCTTATCTGCTTTTGAATTTTATCTACCAATGAATACACATCTATCAATTTATTAAATGAACATCCGTGAGTTTGGAAATTACTGCATTTTTAAAGTAACAGAAGATTGACAATTTGGGCTTACCTCTTTTTATTTATTTATATACAGCGAAAGACGCAAAACACGGACTGGCCCTTGCCCAAGAACCAGTACTCTACTCTTAAAAGGTAAAACTAATTACAAGCTGCTGCAATATATCTAAACTCTTGCACAGTATAATGTTACTGTAATGTTATCAATACCACGATATGATATAATTTGAATACGAGATGTATGTTTTAATAGAATTGAAAAATTACCACAGAAATCTGAGTGTCCTTGTTCTGTGTGCATGTGACAGTTACAGCTCCATTAACATGGAGGGCACGCTGACGCGGAAGACTTCGCCCCGGCATCCGGACAGCTGCGTCGCTCCGCTGGCGGGCCAATATTGGACCTGGGGGACTCACATGCGAGGTACTGATGCTTCGCGGGCTTGATATGCCGCAAAGGTTCCCAAAGATTCGCGCACCTTTGGATTTGCATAATACATTAATATCCTTTCGTATTATATTAATTATGGTATCTACTACACTAGCAGGAAAAAAGTACCAATTTGTACATTTGAGGGTACATTTACTTGTCGCTGGGGCTGTACTCCCAAAGGTCTGCCAGTCGTACTTAGCTGTAGGTAAGTGTACCTTTTAAGGTACAGAAATGGACTCTGAGGAACATTTTTGGGGGTACATTAATGCTGTTGCTACCGTGGGGTGTAAAACTGTACCAGGGCCGTATAGGCTACATTTTTTCTGTCAGTGTATAAGAACCTAACCTGAATTCATGAGGAAATATGTAATTTTTTTTAGCTTCTTAACTGAAGTATTTCACTACGTATTACCTCAGCAGATTACAGGATATCACCTCCAGCTAGTGGACTCCCGAACCGGGCTTGGACTCCGATGTACGTGGTACCGCAGCCCGTAGGTCCGCCTCCCGATTATCAGCACAACGTCTACATCCCTGGCACACCAGCCAGTCACTGCACCCTGAAGCCCGCATATAGCAGTGACTTCGACGTCAACAATTCATTTTCAACATTTGGAAAGAAAAGGAAGTTCATAACACATTACGATCCTAATGAAGACGTGGTGATAAACAACGACATTTTCAACAAGTAAATCACCTGTGAAACACCGCATGTACTCGTCAAAATCCGATGCTCACGTGCTACAGTAAATGGTATATGAGGCTAGTTTTACAGTGTAAGACATACTAAGGCATTTGCATTGCCATCATCAATAATAACAACAATAATAATAATGATAATAATAATAATGGACACTTGCCTCGCACCTGTGGGACCTGGGTTCGAGTCTCCGCCTGGGTCACATGTGTGTGGAGTTTGCTTGTTCTCCCCGTGTCGTCGTGGGGTTTCCTCCGGGTACTCCGGTTTCCCCCCACAGTCCAAAGACATGCTGAGGCTAATTGGCGTTGCTAAATTGCCCTTAGGTGTGCATGTGTGAGTGAATGATGTGTGAGTGTGCCCTGCGATGGGCTGGCCCCCCGTCCAGGGTTGTTCCCTGCCTCGTGCCCGTTGCTTAGGCTCCGGACCCCCCGTGACCCAGTAGGATAAGCGGGTTGGACAATGGATGGATGGATGGATAATAATGGCATATCATTATTACCTTGATAACAGGATCATTGTTAATAACAATATTGCACTGAACATACACTGGTAAATGCATCAGTCATTCTGTTATTGTGCTTATACAGCTAAAATATCCTAGAGTAAAATGAACAGAACACAATGGACGTTGGGTGCTCTCCAGTATTAATGCCATATATTGTATTTTATATTATATATACAGTATTGTGCAAAATTCTTAGGAAAAATCTTAGGTTAAGGGAAATTATTTTAAAATTATGTTTGTGTTGGTGTAAAACTACAAGTTTATTTGTAGTGTGTCAGGTCAGCCATTTCAAATCCTCTCCTCAAGTCAGCCGTACTGTTTGTAATTACATTCCAATATATTCATGCTTTTGTTGAACTTAGGCATTAGTGAACCTCATTTGGATAATGAGTACCCCGTGAAGTTCATTCACTAATTAAGTAAATTAATTTAATGAGCTATTGGTGAAATACACAGAATGACTAGTGCTCATCCGAGGAAGGATTTGGAAACCAGAACCGGATATTCTAGCCGTCCGATAAGATATTAGTCACATCTTGGAGAACACAAAACGTTATGGAACTTTTTGTCGTATTACTGTTTATTTGTATATATTCTCACATTGAAACACATTTTTCTGAGAACTGATAAATAGCTTTAAGAATCATTTCCTTTGACTTTTGGCCAGTACTGTGTGTATATATAATCATACCTTCTTAATGCATAATAGTGTTTATATTGCAGTTAAGAAGCGGTTTACTCACATTTAAGCCAATGAGTGACATTTTATTATCTAAATATAATCGACTGGTTATCAGATAATTAGGATATAGTACACAAGATGGTCTATCCCATTGTAAATTATGCAAATTGCATTTGCAATCGAGGTATTTATAAAATGTGTGGGATGGCATTTGTCATATTGTAAATTATATAAATCAAATATTTTTTTTTCTGATTTTGCATTGTAACAGAGTAGTCAATAAAGTGTTGAAGTGTTTAATAATATGTGTCATTTGCAATTGGTAGTGAATTATGTTTCTATCTATACCTTTGGTTGATATGTTGAGCATCTTACTGCCTAGTGCGATAAATCAATATCAGACATAACTGTAACATACTCTGTTTATGCGTGGTAGGCTTTAAATCCATTTTTTTTACATTCCAAATTAATTCCTAGCATTATGTTATCAACATTGTCACTAGACTTTATCACACCAAGCTGTCTATTTAAGCCTGTAGAAAATCTCTGTTTGCTATTGCTTAAAGTTCGTAATTTAAACATTGCTGCAGAGGAAAATGCAAGCTTAAATATTAATCTGAGACTGAGCTACATGTTACACTCAAGGCTTCATAATAAACCTATTATGCGACTGAATCATACATAGCACTCAGACAATAATCAGCCCCTCTCGAACAATTTCACATCTTGTTCTGTTGCAGTTTAAAATCTCTTTGACATGGAAATAGAGTGAGTAATGTTACTTCCTCATGCTTTCAGAGTTGGGGGTATGTGCAGAGTTTATACATTGTCCCATTTTGCACAGAATAAGACCCACATTACAAAGAAACACAGACAAACTGACCTCATAGTGGGAATATCTGTGTGTGTATATGCATTTGCCCTATGATAGACTGTTATCTCAACCAGTATGCTCCCTTACCTTGTGCCCTAAGTACCTGAGATAGGCTCCACCCGCCTTCCATTCTTTACCCGTATCAGATAAGTGGGTGGAAGATGAATGAATACCTTAAATTTAGAATCTTCATTAATAATGTTTTTCCTCTATACATGCACAATATTCTGCTTGAAGATAAAACGCTTCCCATCTATATTCATATACATACAATGCTGACACTAACATTCTTGAGGATAGGAATAACATTACCTGGGAGATGAGTTGTGCTTATTTTTTTAAACATACTGAGCCAGAGAGCTCAGCATTCATTCACGAGATCACATGTCCATTTTCCAGAGTGTCTCAGAGTTTGTCAGAAGGCTTTGGGGCCTGCTGTATGTTGGCCTGATTCATCGACTTGGTGGCTTCTGTTTGCTGCTTGCGACCCGGTTTTGTCTGCAAACGTGTCTATAGTTACCCCTTTGCCACTCATTTGAGTCCCGCCTGGCCATCTCATCTGCATATTTCACAGTCAGCGATTCTGGTCGCGTCAGCACCACCGAGTCCACGGAGAGCGGCCTGTCAAAGAGGAATAGTCTGACTGCCAGAAGACTTGACGTTGTTTGTGTGCGTGTGTGTGTGTGCAGCTTGGGGTATGTGATTGCTGTTGTCGGTGTTCCATCCCCTTGTGACAGCGCATCTGGAGCTTTTTAAATTTCCTTGTAACACTGCATCGGGAGAAAAAGTCTTTTTCGAGTCAATGTGCAGAAGGTGGCTTGATATGAATTGTATAATATTTGTTATGATGTACCAGATACTTTCAGTGCTTGGTTATTTTATCTCATTTTGCAAGATTTAAATTCAATTATGCTCATGTGTTTGAAGATGTCAGAAAAGGGCAGGGTCACTGTAACTATTCAATAAGGTATAGTATGAATATTTATGCTTTCTGACTTTACTTTATCCATTTATGATGCAAAACATCTAAATAGTCCATTAATCCCATGGTGATATCAGAGGGGTTTTCCACACAGAATAAGTATTATGCATATTTAAAATGCTAATTATATTGATTAGCTTCTTGCCTGCAAGGTGTTGTCTGTGTAAATATATTCAACATTTACCAAATATCTTTCCAAATACCATTTTAATTAAAAGCGAAGAGATGATGATGGTGACTAGTAAAGTATACAGGCAACACACTGCGTTATATAATATTTTGTTTCGCAGGTGCTTTTCATTTTAAAAGTCTTAGCAAATGTAAGAAGGCAGCAGTAAATATCCCAGTACATGGCATATATTTAACAGAGCTTAAACATCAAACATTTAGCTAGAGTGGGACATTAATATAAAACAGAAAACTAATAAAGTAATTCATATAACACAGTTTATCATGTTTCTGTATATTTGAAATTTATATCTCATGTTAAAGGATTTGTATGTTCACCGGTTTCTCAGATTTTGGCATATTACAGCTGGGGAAATGCATTCTGGGAGATTCTTCAGAATTTCAGGGACATCTTTCGGTGGTACTGTTAACCAGGGTTTTCCCAAACTTATTGTAAGCCAGGGTTTCCCAAACTTATTGTAAGCCAGGGTTTCCCAAACTTTTCAGCCCACAGCCCCCAAGATTACAGCGCCAGAAACTGAGGACCCACATGGTGTATAACATTAAGAGATGTATACAGTGGACTATATTCCTTTTTAATTTAATTTTTTATTATCATTGTTTTAATTTTTTTTAAAGTTGACGCATCAGACCTCTGGGACTAGTACCTGGTCTCCACTGTGACTTTGCATGTTTGCATGATTTTCCTGTGTCGTCATACAGTTTCCTCCAGGTATTCTGGTCCCCCCCTCCCCCCCAAGTCCAAAAACATGCTCAGGTTAATTGGAGGTAAATTGTCCATAGTGGCGCATGTGTGAGTGACTGGTATGTTGATGTGCCCTGCGATTGGTTGGCGCCCTGTCCTGGAATGTTCTCTGTCTTGCGCCCGTAGCCTCCAGACTCCCCCCCCCCACCCCCCGAATAGGATTAGCAGTTTCAGGGAATGGATGGATGGATGAAATTACTGGACAGTAGTGCTGAATTTTGCTGAAAATGGCCACTGAAATTGACCAGTTGTGGAATGCTGCAGTGATTAATGTTAATGAATGCATGCAGTGGTGCAGCTGAGGCTTCTGCCCTGCCGTGACAAAAGCAGTGGCCATCTTTGCCCAGTAGTGAGGCTGACTCTCATCGATCCTCTTGCAGTTGGAATCCACTGCTGCCTTTGACACCCGTTGAGATCCAGTAGAGCTCCAAATGCAAAGTTTGTGCTCCGGGGATCCATTCCTGCAGTACAATGGGCGTTTCAGCCTTACCTCAGCAAGAGGGGTTAGCTGTGCTCAGGAGGTAGTTGTGCATTTCATCAGAACCTTGATTTGTTGCTGCTTTGCTTTCCAGAACCCCGACTAAGAAATCTTTTAGCATATTGAGTGGTTCCGTCCATACACTCTTCTGTCACATCCCTACCTTCCCGGTGGACCACAACTTCTCCACACTTCTTTGCACATCTTCCGTTGTCAGGTGTCATTCTCCTATGCCTCCTGTGTTACCGTAGTAAACACCTGTTCATACTCCCAAGCCCTGCCCATCCAGACACAAATGATCCCACCAGAAAATTGCCCTCCACTCACAACTTGGCTTGACTACATTTCGTCCCCTGCACTTCCTCCAAGTTGACATTTCTGCTTGTCATGGACATTTTGATGTCAGATGAGTCTCTGTGCTGCAGCACCTCTCTTGCATAGGTGAACAGACCACTGAACAGTAGACATGGCTTGTTGCTTTGTCCATATAAAGTAATGCTGTTCAGACTTTATAGTAGGCCCAGCCTTGAAAGAAAATGGTTGATCTTTGTTGTGCCTCACGGCGCACGGAGAACAGAAGCTCAGGAAGCCAGAAGTCGGGGTGAACTCGGGGTTTTAATAGGAACAGCAACGATAGGGACAGGTAAAACACGGGGTAACATTACAATGACCGGACTGGGGAAACAAACGGAAACGCAGACTAAATACAATGGACTGATGACAACGATCAGGAACAGCTGGTAAACATGGGGAATCCACATGGGGTTAACGAGGGGGCGTGGCACACGAAAGGGGCGGGCGATCGGGGCATGACATCTTCCTTTCAAAGCCCTCAACCACTTGGCAGCCACCCAGGGTGGCATGTTTCTGGGGCTGGCATGGGGCACTTACACACACGCACAAAATGATCAGAGTGGTGACATTTGCAAGATCAGTTTTCTATAACTTACTTGCATGTCATGTCAGTGATATCATGTGACCATGTGGGTCAGTTGACCTTGATGGAATGGTCGCCGTGATTTTAGTTTGTCAGCTAGCCAGGCTATAACTCAGAAGCATGAAATGTGGAGGGGGCAGGGGGGGGGTGGATTTCAGGTCGACCCACTGGAAGCTGGAGGTAGGGGGAGCAGAAGAATCTATCAAATATTGCACATCTAACTTTGTACAATATTAAACCTTTTCAGAAAATCAGTCACACTACAAAACAATACCAAATAAACCACAGTTAATTCATAATACTGTGAATGTACTGTATAGTTTCACAAACATATTGTTGCATTATTGTCTGCATTGGGCAAAATTGTTCATAATAATATAAAGCCAGAATACACACCCCCAAATTGAATTTTTTTCAGTTTTGGCTCTAGGGTGTCATACAGGCTAGAACTGCCCCCGCCTTTGACAGTAATATGTGAGACCTCATGATGCATGATGGTAGATCCAGACATTGATTTCACCAAGTGATCTACTGCTGGCAGGCATGGCTGCCTGAAGTGTTGCTGTGTCCTTCAGCTCTTCAAGCCCTTGGAGGATCCGTCTGCATCCAGGCGCCGATAATGTTGCTGCTGTCAGATGGTACGTAAATGCTCTAATGGAGGGGGGGGGGGTGTTGGACACCAGACATAGTCAGAGAGCCTCATTATATACATTATAGACATATACAAAGAGACAACCTATAATGAGCACACAGTATCCATTAACACTTATGTGTACTAAGATATGTCATATTGCATTCATTTTCAAAAGAACTTGGGTTAAGAGCATAAAATGTTGGGTACTTCTTTTTTTGTAACAAATGGTTGCAGTGAAGATGGCTTCATACAAATTTCCTTTGATGTCCAGAGAAAGGTATATTACAAATTTTTCACTCAAAGTATGAACATTTTTTTTTAAGAAAGCCAGAAGTATTCAGTATGATGATATGAATTGGCTGTTTATTGAGACTGACAATTACTGAACATAGAAGTAACTGTTATTGCAGACATTCACTTTTAGAGGGAAAGGTTTCTTCTATTGTTATTCATTCAGTGTCTACCAGGTACAAAAATTCTTGAGACCTGACATCTCAATTATTTAATGCTCATCAAGTAGACGATGGAGGGATGTTTCAAGTGGCCGGTAGTTCTACAAGCCAAGAAGACAGCAAACAATTCAGATGGAGCTGGAAGAGATTAGAGTTGATCAAAACTATAATTGCAGTAAACGTACTAAAATATTAGTTATTGAGCCCATAAATTGATATGTTAGTTGAATGCCAATTACTTTGAATACAACAGGACCCGTTATAGTATGGGATGGGATTTGACATTCCATAAAAACTTCAGCCACACCTGTTACTCGTTTAACCCTTCCTCTCGTTGCAGCCCTTGTGTGGATCACCCCAGGTGCCTCTCGTTTGCTCCTTTGTCAGTGCTGTATATAGTGCCTCCCTGTCTTGAGCTCCCCAGTCCGGTCATTGTGGTCGCTGCCTGCATGTGCTCCCTGATTTGCCCTGTGTTCCAGGTTAACCCTCCCTACCCTGTTTTGACCCCTGTGTTCCCTTTCCTTTTGTTTTGCCTGTTGTTTTTGCTTAATAAAGCCCCTTTAGTTTTTTTCCCGATACCTGCCTTTGCTTCCGTCCTTCCTGCAACGTGACAAGGATCAAGAGAAACAAGTCATGAAATCCAGAAATTCACCACAAGTATTATGAACTATTGTTATTTAACAGTACTGGGTGCTCTAGCATCACCTACTGCTGCTCCTGGTTCTAAATATAATTCCTATATTCCCACTATTATCATCACTAATTAAAAAAAATCTTATTATTATTGTTGTTGTCATATTGTTGTTGTAATACAAAATGAAATTACAAAATTAATGTTATTTCTGTAATCATTAGGGTTCAGCATATGAAACTTCAACTTTTTAAATGTCTATTCATTTTCATCATATAATAAGCCTACATCATTGCATTATTTTTACACTGTTGATTTGCCACACTGAAAATGTATTAGCATAATGTGAGCTTTGAAAATGTGTTAAGGCGTTTCCGTCTCACAGTCAAACTAAAAGTGGATCCAGCCAGGCGCTGTCCATCAATGTGGTTCTGAAACTGCAGGTCTTTGTTACAAAGACGTAACAGTTCTTTTAAAAAGTAACATGGCGTGTGTATTTGGTATTTTCATTTCATTTGACGTTCGGAAGGTTTCAGGGAAGACTGACCACATCACATGCGTACCAGTTTGTTCTGTTTGTACACAGTGTGGCGCTGCTCTGCAGTAATACGGAGCCACTTCGCATCTAGAGGGAAGGCGAAGCAGTTGTACATTGAAGGGCTCGTTTAAGATTAGGAAGTAGGAGTCTAGTAGCGGTCACACATGGAAGAGCCTGCCCTGCAAACCTAGCGGGAAAATGCTTAATATGTACGTCAATGTATGCTTTTAGATTGCTTATTCATTGGATACAACATTTTTGAAAAGCTTTGTCACATATTTGGATTATATTGTTTTCTACCATAATGCCAACGAAAGTGGAGCTCCGAGAATGGTACGTGAGATTTTTCTTTGTTTTCTGTACGATGTGGAGCGTCGCATGGGCCGTGACTCGCTATTCTATTCCCGAAGAAATGGAAAGAGGATCGGTCGTTGCTAATTTAGCAGCGGATCTGGGACTGAATACTGCCGTATTGGCCGAGCGTGAAGTTAAACTAGACATTATCCATAGCAAAAAATATTTAGAGATCAACAGAGAGACCGGAGAACTGTATATCGTAGAGAGGATTGACAGGGAATCTCTTTGTTCCAAAACTGCTATGACTTGCGTTCTTAAACTTGATGTCATAATTAAAAACCCACTGCGTATTTTTAATATTGAACTGGAAATAACAGATATTAATGACAATGCACCTCAGTTCCGAAGAGACAGCATTGAACTGGATATTTCAGAATCTGCATCACCGGGAGAGAGATTTTCCCTCACAAATGCAGTAGATCCCGATATCGGAACAAATTCAGTTAAAACATATCATATCAGTAACAACGAGAACTTTAATCTTGATATTCAGACTGGGAGTGATGGATCAAAATATGCGAATTTGGTTTTGAAAAAAGCTTTAGATCGGGAAGAAAAAAACGTACATAACCTTATACTTACGGCAGTAGATGGAGGCGTACCCCCCCGCTCGGGCACCGCCAGCATTACTGTTCGCGTACTGGACGTGAATGACAACGCCCCTGAGTTTGACCGTAAGACTTACTCCATTAATGTTGCCGAGAACACGCCTATCGGATCCCTTGTAATGAGGCTGAACGCTACGGATTTAGATGAAGGTTCAAACGCAGAGCTGAGCTATTCATTTATGCTTTACACCTCGGAAAAGGTTCAGGATATGTTCGAATTGAACTCGAATACTGGAGAATTAAAAGTGAAAGGTGTGGTTGATTTTGAAGAAATAATGAAGCTGGAAATGCACATTCAGGCTCATGATAAAGGCCAGAATCAACTATCCGGACAGTGTACAGTAATAGTAGTTGTTACCGATGTTAATGATAATCACCCCGCTATCAGTATAACATCCCTTAAGAGGGCAGTAAAAGAGAACGTTCCAGTAGGTACACTGATAGCCCTCATAAGCATTAGTGACAGAGATTCGGGAGCAAATGGAATTATCGACATTACAATTAATGAAGATTTGCCCTTTGTATTAAATGAATCATCCAAAAATGATTTTGCATTAGTTGTTTCAGAATCTTTGGATCGCGAGAAAATTCCAGAATATGAAATAGCTATAATTGTGACTGATAAAGGAACGCCGCCTTTATCAGATAATGATACAATTTCGTTAGAGATCCTGGACATTAATGACAATGCGCCCCTATTTCCAAAGTCATTCTATACTATTCCTGTGATGGAAAACAATGGACCAGGATCTTTGCTGAGTTCTTTGGCTGCATTTGATCCAGATCTACATGAAAACCAGTATTTGGTTTATTTTATTATAGAGAAGGAAATAGTTAATACTTCCATGTCTATGTTGTTTTCCATTAATCCAGAGAATGGTGACCTTTATGCACTAAAAACATTTGATTATGAGAGAGAGAAGGAATTTCTGTTTCATATCGAAGCCCGAGATTCTGGAGTTCCTCCACTCAGCAGTAATGTGACTGTCCATATCATCATTGTGGACCAGAATGACAACACACCAGTTATAGTGTCTCCATGGAGCGCACATGGCTCTGTGGTTGAGGAAGTGATTCCAAGATCCATTGATAAAGGACACCTGGTTTCCAAAGTTATCGCCATTGATGGAGACTCAGTGCACAACTCTCGGATCACATACCAGTTCCTACAGCTTACGGATGCTACGCTGTTCAGTCTGGACCAATACAATGGGGAGATTCGGACAATGAGAATGTTCAGCTACAGAGATGCTCGTCACCAGCGCATGGTTGTTCTAGCCAAAGACAATGGAGACCCTGCTCTCTCTGCCACCGTCACCATCAAGTTATCGACTGTGGAACAGGCCGTTAAAGTCTATTCTGACACCATGGAGGTACCTTTGGAATATGACATCTTCTCAGACCTAAACCTCTACCTGGTGATCAGTTTGGGTGCAGTTTCATTTCTCTTACTAATGACAATATTGGTCACCATCGTGCTGAAGTGCCAGAAACCAAAACCCACCAAAGCGGCTCCTCCTGTATGTAGGAACAGCATCATCAGCCAGAGGAACTCTACTATAGCGGATTCCACCCTGATCTCCAGTGATGCCTACTGGTACAGTCTGTTTCTAGCAGAGACCAGGAAAGGGAAGGTGGTGGTTAGGCAGCCGGTACCCAAGGCTGGATACATCATTTCCAGTATACCCAGGAGCACAGGCCTGACAGAAACCAGTGAATCTGCTGCATCCACACTGCAGGTAAGAAAAAGCAACTTATCAGCAAGTCTAATTTAATTTCTAAACTTTTAAGATATTTAAATAACATTTATATCTTACATGACCTTTATTCTGTACTTCCAATTTTTGTACTGGCAATGATTTACATACTGCTATAGTTACAGTATAGTAGATTAACACAATTGAAATGGCCTGCACAATGATACAATAGTTCCTCGTAAAGTATGCAGTCATATACATATAAATACATTTAAATCTTTGATTTAACCTTTAATTTGATTCTTACTTCAGCTCAAAAAACTCCTTTATAGCGTATTGTTTTTGTATATTTAACACACTCTAAAAATGTATAGAACTTTGTTTTCTTTAAAAAAAAATCAATATCCATATCACACATTTTACTTTATATAAATTAACCAGTGGCCAAAGGGTAATTTCAGCAATGAACAACGTACCCCCATAATCACATTCCTAATTTATCATCCAGTGGTAAGGTTGAATGGGCCTTCCAACGTTCTCAGTGTTCTGAGAATATTCCGGAAAATTTACGCTTGCAAGGCGCAAAACTGAAATTGTTGGGGATATTTTCTGCAACGTTAACTGAATGTACAACGTTCCTGAATCTTAAAGAAAGCTGAATAGGTTTATGCTAGGAGACGGTAAATAGTGTCTTCCTGGTGGTTTTTATTATATAAAGCTTTTTAGCATTTTTTTCCTTTGTTTTATTTAGCAGGATACGAATCATTGGATTTTATATTCTTGCTCTGCAGTCAATCAAGTCTGATACAGGTCAAAAATTATATCTTGTAAATGAATTACGAAAGTAAAATCTCAATAAATGGCCCATTTGAAGTATCAGATATGCGTATTGTTCAAAGAAGTGTAACATATATTACTCTGGTTGATGCTATATTTTTTTGTTCATTTAATTTGACCATCTACATTCCCACCGCTTGTTCACTTCAGACTAGACTTCTACACACAGTGTCGCTGTTCCGTATTGTATCACATACCAGCTCCAGTTGAAGAGCAGCCATGTCAGTGTGGGCAGTGAAGAACTGCTCCGCGTTGTCAGCAAGGTCGATTTAAAATCAGAATCGCAGAAGAACTCAGTTCACAGAATAAGAAACGCCGGATGTGTGGATACTCTTCTGTGTGAATACAGCCTGGTATTTGTTCCTTTACGGATGATGTCCATAACCCATTTTTGGCGTTGGTGAGTTTTTTCTTGCAACAATGGCACCGCATTCTAACGCGAAATATAAGCCGGTCTGGGTTTTCTTTGTAAGCTTCGGAATATGGAGCAGCGTCTGGGCCGTGACTCGTTACTCTATTCCAGAAGAAATGAAGGAAGGTTCCGTGGTAGCGAATTTAGCGGCTGATCTGGGACTCAGTGTTGGAGGACTGAATAAACGTGAGGTAAAACTCGATATATTAAATGGCAAGAAATATTTGGAAATCAACAAAGAAACTGGAGAACTGTATGTTTTAGAAAAGATTGATAGAGAGCACATATGCAACATGAAGTCATCGTCATGTTTGCTTAAAATGGATGTTACGATAGAAAATCCTATAAGAATATTTAATGTTGAATTCGAAATACTTGACATTAATGACAACGCGCCTCGTTTTCGAAAGCAAACAATGCATCTGGATATTTCTGAGTCGACCTTACCCGGGGAGCGGTTCTCTTTAAACAATGCGGTTGATCCTGATATGGGATCAAATTCGATTAAAACGTACCACCTGAGCGAAAGCGAGCATTTCAATTTAGAGATTCAGTCAGGAAGCGATGGATCAAAATATGCAAACCTTGTTTTGAAAAAGGCTCTGGACAGGGAGAAGCAGGCTGTGCATAATCTGATACTGACCGCTGTAGACGGCGGAGTCCCTGCGCGATCGGGCACCGCCAGCATCATTGTTCGTGTGCTGGACGTGAATGACAACGCCCCTCAGTTTGATCGTAAGATTTACTCCATTAATGTTACCGAGAACACGCCTATCGGATCCCTCGTATTGAGACTAAACGCGACGGATTTAGATGAAGGTTCAAACGCAGAGGTAAGCTATTCTTTTATGCTTTACACCTCAGAAAAGGTTCAGGACATGTTCGAATTGAAGTCGAATACGGGGGAATTAAAAGTAAAAGGCGTGATTGATTTTGAGGAAATACAAACATTTGAGATGCACATTCAGGCTCATGACAAAGGGTATGATCAGCTTTCTGGGCAGTGTACAGTAATAGTATTTGTTACAGATGTTAATGACAACCATCCCATAATCGCCATCACGTCTTTGAAGAACACAGTAAAGGAGGATGTTCCGATAGGTACAATGATAGCCCTCATAAGGATTAGTGATAGAGACTCGGGGGATAATGGTATGGTTGACATTACAATTAACGAGCATTTGCCGTTTCTATTAAATAAATCGTCTGAGAATGATTTTGCCCTAGTTGTTTCCGAATCTTTGGACCGTGAGAAAGTTGCAGAGTATGAAATCACCCTTGTTGTTACTGATAGAGGCATGCCTCCATTATCTGATAATGAAACTATTACTTTGGAGATTTTTGACATCAATGACAATGCGCCACAATTTCCAAAGTCGTTTTTTACTATTCCTGTGATGGAAAACAATGCACCGGGGTCTTTGTTGAGTTCATTGGCAGCGTATGACCCAGATCTACATGAAAACCAATATTTAGTTTATTTTATTATAGAGAAGGAAATAGTTAATACTTCCATGTCTATGCTATTTTCCATTAATCCAGAGAATGGTGACCTTTATGCACTAAAAACATTTGATTATGAGAGAGAGAAGGAATTTCTGTTTCATATCGAAGCCCGAGATTCTGGTGTTCCTCCACTCAGCAGTAATGTGACTGTCCATATCATCATTGTGGACCAGAATGACAACACACCAGTTATAGTGTCTCCATGGAGCGCACATGGCTCTGTGGTTGAGGAAGTGATTCCAAGATCCATTGATAAAGGACACCTGGTTTCCAAAGTTATCGCCATTGATGGAGACTCAGTGCACAACTCTCGGATCACATACCAGTTCCTACAGCTTACGGATGCTACGCTGTTCAGTCTGGACCAATACAACGGGGAGATTCGGACAATGAGAATGTTCAGCTACAGAGATGCTCGTCACCAGCGCATGGTTGTTCTAGCCAAAGACAATGGAGACCCTGCTCTCTCTGCCACCGTCACCATCAAGTTATCGACTGTGGAACAGGCCGTTAAAGTCTATTCTGACACCATGGAGGTACCTTTGGAGTACGACATCTTCTCAGACCTAAACCTCTACCTGGTGATCAGTTTGGGTGCAGTTTCATTTCTCTTACTAATGACAATATTGGTCACCATCGTGCTGAAGTGCCAGAAACCAAAACCCACCAAAGCGGCTCCTCCTGTATGTAGGAACAGCATCATCAGCCAGAGGAACTCTACTATAGCGGATTCCACCCTGATCTCCAGTGATGCCTACTGGTACAGTCTGTTTCTAGCAGAGACCAGGAAAGGGAAGGTGGTGGTTAGGCAGCCGGTACCCAAGGCTGGATACCTCATTTCCAGTATACCCAGGAGCACAGGCCTGACAGAAACCAGTGAATCTGCTGCCTCCACACTGCAGGTGAGAATAAATAACTCACTTTTGAATAAAATTATTGTTTTGTATTAGGTTTTCACAACAATTTTTAATACCATATTTTTTACATTAAGCATGTACTTAATCCTGGTATGGAATCTTATAATGAAACAGTAACTTCTAACTTGAATGATTTACATGTAAATCCCAGGATGATGAGCTGTGTGTGACTGTGCCCTGTGATGGGTTGGCACCCTGTGATGGGTTGGCATCCTATCCTGCGTTGTTCCCTGCCTTGTGCCCGTAGCTTCCAGGACCCTGAATCGGATGTGCTGTTTCAAAAAATGGGTGTATAGGTGATGTTTGTTCAGTAATCACATATTCTAATCAATGAAATAAAACTTTAGGTTAACCATCTTGCCCTGTATTTTTCCAGTTCTTGTTTTGGGGCAACATGACCACCATTTCCCAACCTAAACTCACTTACATTAGGTCTCTAGTTTCTGCAGCACTAGCTGTTTTAATTTAATGCTTGTCCTAATTGCCACTGTTTAATCTGTAAGTGATGCCTATTTTATTGTGCTTCTTATCAATTCACTGTGTTCCATTAGTGTAAACGTGGAAACTGCTAAATAGCAATGACATTTTTTATACAAAACTATGTCAACTTTAACAGAATGCTCTACATAATGTCGGGTCCCAAAAATTGACAATTAAGGTGAAACAATATAAAATATGTAGGAGTGGATGCTGGTAAACTGGGACAATTTGTGAAATTCTACTTTTTCTCTCTCTTTAAAAATATGATCCTAATTACAAGCATTACAACATAAAAATATTATTGAAACATCAAGAACTGAGCTTAATGGAGTATACAGGCATAAAGATGTTCCAGTTCACCCTATGTCCCACTTAACCAGTATGCACGTTATTCCAAAGATATCTAATTTTCCTTTCAGCAGGTTGTTTTGTGGGAAAAAATCAATAAGCACAATATACTAACAGGACTTTTGGTACAAAACTATTGAAACAGACACATAAACAGTTGCTATAATTGCGCAGGGTCTACTTAACACTCATTCAAGTAAGCTATTAAAGAAGTATTTAAAAATATCTTTATATACAATAGTCTATAGACATGTTTCTGACATTCATCTCACAGAAGAGGTCTGAGAAATGTTTCCTCGGTAAGTGTCGCTGTTCCCTAATAATTATCAAATGACCATAGCTAGTGGGAAGCCATGACAGTTGGCTAGGAAAAGGCGCTCGTTGTTTCGGTAGGTGCGGTTACGTCTCCACTGCAGCCTTTGCAATTCTTATCTTTTTCATGGATTAGTATATCTGGGTGAATTTTTTAATACTAGGATAAGCAGTATTTCTTTTGAGCGTCTATACGTCGAATCTGTTTGGTGATATTTTTCTTTTAACAATGGCCAGGACTGGTAATGTGAACGTCATACCATACATAGGGCATTTCATTGTATTTTTCGCGACGTGGAGCAGCGTCTGGGCCGTGACTCGTTACTCTATTCCGGAGGAAATGAAGGAAGGTGCTGTGGTAGCGAATTTGGCGGCTGACCTGGGACTCAGTGTTGGAAGTCTGACTCAACGTAAGGTAAAACTCGATATTTTACACAGCAAGAAATATCTGGATGTAAACAAAGAAACCGGAGAACTGTATATATTAGAGAAAATCGACAGAGAATATATTTGTAACTTTAAAACCACATCATGCTTGCTTAAATTGGATGTTATTATCGAAAATCCTGAACGGATATTTAATTTTGAAGTAGAAATATTAGATATCAATGATAATGCACCACACTTTCGACGTGAAACAATGCATATAGACATTTCCGAGTCAACGGCAGCCGGAGAGAGATTTTACCTCACGAATGCGGTAGACCCAGATGTCGGTTCAAATTCGATTAAAACGTACTATCTAAGTGAAAGCGAACATTTTAGTCTTGATATTCAAACGGGAACTGATGGATCTAAATACGCGAACCTAATTTTAAAAAAGGCTTTGGACCGGGAGGAACAAGCTATGCATAATCTGATACTCACTGCTGTAGACGGCGGAGTCCCCGTGCGATCGGGCACCGCCAGCATCATTGTTCGCGTACAGGATGTGAATGACAACGCCCCTCAGTTTGATCGCCAAATTTACTATGTTAATATTTCTGAAAATTCACCTATTGGAACACCAGTGATGAAGGTAAATGCTACGGATTTAGATGAAGGTTCAAACGCAGATATTATATATTCTTTCACGCTTTACACTTCTGAAAAAACGCAAGATTTGTTTTCTTTGAATTCGGATACAGGGGAAATAAAAGTGAAAGGGATTATTGATTTTGAGGAAATAAAAACACTTGAGATGCACATCCAGGCTAATGACAAAG